GCAAGCGTGACCGCTTTTGCGCCCTGGCAGAATATCCTCTCTTGTTTAAACACATTTGTATACAGTCCATACGCGAAGTTGGTAAACTTCTGGTTTTCCGCAACACTTGTTTTGTGTGTGGATGTATTAACAGGTTTGAGCGCTTGGGTAGCTCTAATACTGGTTGACCGATTTCTTGAATTAGACTGGGAAACCATATTCTGGCTGGCCAGTAGGGCGCGACCAAAGTGAGTTGTAGACTGTGTTTGTTTGATTTTCTGTAATACTTGAGGTATTATTTCTGGCGGAAACGCTGCGACGCTGTTGAGGCTTCCCAAGATATACTTAGAGCCGTCCGCTTCCCAAGCTTGTGGGTCTGGGATTGGTGACACGAATGTCGGTAACTGATTGTTGAATCTTGTGGCTTAATAGATCTATTAGCTGGCGCTGCTAACGGCTTGATTATCTGAGCAAATATTTCCGTATTGAGCATCCACTCTGTCGGTGATGGTAGATGAGGCCGAGATAGCGCGTCTGCTAGTACATTCTTTGCTCCGGGAATGTGAACTGCTCTGATCTGTAGATTTAGATCGTGGGTTAGATCGAATAGTTGAAAGCTTAGGTTCAAAAGGTTCAATGATCTCGTTGAGCCTTGCTTGTTTATGTAGAACGCCACTGTGGAATTGTCTGTATGAATCATCAGGTGCGCATTTTGTAGAAATGTGCTCCAATGTAGAATGGCGTTGATTACAGCTTTCATCTCTAAGTTGTTTATGTGGAGTTTGCTTTCTTGTTGATTCCATATTCCCGATGTCGTTTGGTTGGCGAGATGAGCTCCCCAACCTTGAAGTGACGCGTCCACATATAGATGGGTTTGGAATTCCTGCTCTGCTAAACAAATCCCTTCGCAGACATTCGATTCCTTTGTCCACCATAGTAGATGAGGTCTGAGATGTTTCGGTAGACTGAATGGCTGTAAACCGTCGAGATGTGCATTGATGAAGACCTGTAAAGGACGTAACTGTAACCTGCCTCTGACTGTCATGTCTTGGGCTGATGTGAGGAGACCTAGGAGGCTCTGCCATTGTCGAAGTGGTAACGGAGAGCGTAGAGCTGGTGGAATGGTCTGTTGGATCTTGATCCAACGGTCTTCTGGTACGACGATACGGTTGAGATTTGTGATAAATCGAATGCCTAGGAACTGTAGGTCTTGTGACGGTACTAGGTCCGACTTGAGTAAGTTTATCTAGCAGAACACCAGACGGTAGGGGGTCGATCGCCAGCAGCTGACTAGATGGAGTATCTGGAGTATCAGCCATATTTAGCCCTTGTTTGCGTGACCTATCTGCAGCACGTCTTAAGACGCAAAGATAGTATTTATTAAATGCAGAATTAGATAAATTAATGCAATAACTGCAACGTGAATCAAACGCACACGGCGTAGAACAACTAGGGCATATTACATGCGGATCTGAGGCAGAAAAACGTAATCTACAAATAGTACAGATTTTCATCAACATAATACTAGCTGAACAATCACGAATACACATTGAATAAACAGTAGAAATACGATAAATAATCAATACAAATTGCTGAAGGATACTAGCTATACCTCTATAGTACACTATAGGAGGTAAAAAACTAAGAAAAATCAAAGGATATGTTGTGTAAGGAGACACAGGCGCTCTCACATCCTGCTCACTGGGCGAAGAAGGAGAGAGTGAAGCACGAGGTAGGAGGTGGCGACACCTTTCCCGCCAAAAGGGATCAAGGGGAGCAACTCGTGGTGAGTACTGATTAGTGATTTTACATTGAAGGGAGCTTCAATTAAGGAGATACAAGTGTTTCCACTATGTTCGCAAGAAGAAGAAGACAAGCAAAAGAGCATGAGTCAGGATAAGGAAAAATATTAAGGCTTGTGAAGGACATGAGTCCGTTCAGCTATTGTGTATACTACTTGAACAATAATATCCACCAAAAAGCCAGAGATATGAACTCAGTAGAAAACCTATGTTGACTCCAGCACACACAGAGGAAAGATGTTTTCCCACCTGTTATAGGGTTCACCTTCGGATGTTAATTAGAGAGTCTCCACAATCCTGACTGCCTTGTCCACTCGGGAGACATATTTTTTCTTACACTGCACCATGAGTAAGTGAGAGTGAGTGAGGTTTTACGGTGCTTTTTGCAATATTCCAGCAACATCATGGCCGGGGACACCAGAAATGGGCTTCAGACAGTGTACCCATGTGTGGAATCAAACCCCGGTCTTCGGCATGATGAGAGAAATCTTTATCCACTAGGCTACTCTACCGTCCCTTATTGTACCATGTCCAAATCAGGTACAGGTGCAGAGCAAACTGAAGATGCAGGGAAGATCAGATTACAACTGTCTCTCAACACAAAACAAGTCTCTATACAACCAGACATGGAAAACCATTTGTTCCTTGTGGCTATATACTAGAGACACGCACACACACACATTTTTGTATAGGGCCGATATCAACTCAGCTGCTCAAAGGCACTTTGGTTTTCCCTCGATCACTGGATGTCAATCTCAATGGCAAGTCGTATTATCAATCTCAACTCCCTGGGAATCATACAACTCTTGCAGCCACTAGGAGCACTGAATTAGTGTGTCGATCCCATCCTTACGAGGTACCCATTCACAGCTGGGTAGATTGGGACACATAATCACAGGACTTTGTCCAAGTTTACTGCACGTTGCTGTACCAACAACTAGGTCACAGTAGGTGTTTGCACGTATTCATGTGGCCACCAGCTGGTCATATACCAACGGATTCATGGGTTCTTTTAAGTGCACAGGGTTGTGTACATACACTAGGGGTTGTGGCAACACTGAAAGAGTCTGCACACAAAGTTGACTCCAAGGTTTTTACACCCGGTCACAGGTGGGCTCGATCCCGTCACCTCAAGCTCGCTGGATCACTAGCCTGGCGCTTTAGCCAGTTCGCCCACCACACCCACAGACAGACAGAAGATTCTGAAGACCTTGACTACCCACAGGTATACACGCTTGCATGAGTGAGTGAGTGAGTGAGTTTAGTTTTACGCCGCTTTTAGCAATATTCCAGCAATATCACGGCGGGGGACACCAGAAATGGGCTTAACACATTGTACCCATGTGGGGAATCGAACCCGGGTTTTCGGCGTGACGAGCGAACGCTTTAACCACTAGGCTACCCCACCGCCCCACGCTTGCATGAGATAACAGGAGTCTTACAATACCTTGACATCCCCATGGGGATAGAAATATGAGGTACTGGAGATTCACCAAGGGCTATGTGGTGTTCATAAAGGAAATCAATGGTACGTCAGTCATATCCTCTGAAGGGAAGTTAATTCCGAGATAAATGAGAAGTCATCAATATCCCCTGCCCATTGTCTCATTTTGAAGAGAATGATATGTGCAAAGAAATGTGACATTTTAAGTGGCTAGAACACATGCTGGTGGAAGAGGTTCAATGCAAGACCTTCTGTATGGCATCTATAAAAAGTGTGTATTGTTATATAGGCAGATATAACTACACCCTAACCTTTACAGCTACCAGAGTTAGGTAGATGGTACAGGTAAGTTACAAGAATTATGAGCATGCTTGCCCCTCAAAATCTGTAAAACTTGATTGTTTTCATAATCTGGACTGGAACAAAGGAGCACTGCCAACATTTCCAAGGTTGGTGCCATGGAAAACTGACAAACAATACATGTAAAAAATCCCCATCTATAAAAAAATTCCCCCGTTCACCACTAGACTTATCCATGTGTCAAATCTTACAACAAAATCTGCTCAGCAAAAGAAATGTGACAGCTGACAGTTCAATATCCCAGCCATTTTATCATGGTTTATTTACCATCTATATAACACATCTCTACAGTCAAGCTATATCAAACAAACCCTAGAATACCTGTTTCTGAGTGCCTTGTTCAACATGATGACAGCTGTAAAAATTTCACATGGGTATTCCTTCAGACACTTCATGATTCTATTTTTGGAAACAAGCACCGCTGTTAACATGAAGATCATGTGATGTGGTGCCAATGATACTGTCTCAGACCTGTTGCTATGTGATGCTACAGGCATACTCCCAGTTATCTGAGGGTGTGTTGCCATGCGACACCATGCAAAGTCCTGTACAGCTAATGGGTGTAATAGATACATATATGTTTTGCCATTAAAATCGTTTCAAAGCGATGATGTATCATTGCTAACATAAAGCAATGTTAGGAACCCGTGGGGACATTGTTAGAATTCAGCAACAATGCTTGTTTTCAGTTTTGTGTTTGTAAGTTTTGTTTTTACTTACAGATAGAATAACTTTTGTTTATGTGCATACTCTTTTCAATCTTGCTCATCACACAAGTTTACATAAGGTAACTTTGTAACATAAAACTGACTGACTGACTGAGTTTGGTTTTACGCCGCTTTTAGCAATATTCCAGCAACATCACGGCAGGGACACCAGAAATGGGCTTCACACATTGTACCCATGTGGGGATTCGAACCCGGGTCTTCGGCATGACGAGCCAACGCTTTGACTACTAGGCTACCCCACCACCCCTGTAACATAAACCCCCCCAGTAAACTACATTTATAATGGAGACACCTATAACAAACTGCAGATATAACATATGGTCTTTTGGTCCCGACCACCTCGTGTGTACAATTAACTATGTTTATAATGAACTAAATCTCTTTGACCTCATCAGAACCGCAGTTTGCTGTAATGAGTGAGTGAGTTTAGTTTTACGCTGCACTCACCAATATTCAAGCTATATGGCAGCGGTCTGTAAATAATCGAGCCTGGACCAGACAATCCAGTGATCAACAGCATGAGCATCAGTCTACGCAATTGGGATATAATGACATGTGTCAAGCACGTCAGCAAGCCTGACCAACCGATCTCGTTAGTCACTTCTTACAACAAGCATGGGTTACTGAAGATCAATTCGACCCCAGATCTTCATGGGTTTTGCTGTAATGAAAGTTTGCAAGCACCAGTTTGAGTTGTTAACTATACTGGCATTTGACATAAGTCAGGACGATGTTTTTTCAAACTTTTCATGACCATCAGCAGAACAGTGAGGACCCTGATTAGATTTGGACTTCAGGTGAGGTGAGGTGAAATTGGGTTTAACGTTGTACTTGAGAATATTTCGCTCATAAAACGACGTGCATGCGTGTGTATGTGTGTGTGCGGCTGCTTGTACTAGCCCAGACTGAAGCTGGTTTTATAGTGCTAGCCCACTGAGATACCATGCAGCAGTGAAGCATGAATACCCCACCTCAGACACATTATACCGCCTCCAACCGACCAGTCCTTTGTTGTACCCATTAATGCCGAGCGACAGACAGGGACCAACAAGTACCATATTTTAACAGCTTTTGGTGGCGACACGGTCAGGGATCGAACTCCACCTTCCGCTTCTCCCGGCGGACGCCTTAACCACTACACCACGGAGGTGGTCTGTACTTCAGCATCCCATGTTTGTCATGAGAGGAAACTAATGGGATCAGGTGGTCTGGCTCACTGACGATGTCATGGTATCTCAACGGTGCCGATCGATGTTTGTGATGTCAATCACCAGACTGTCTGGCCATGCTTTGATTATTTACAGATTGCTGTAAATAAAGGTGCAGTAATACTGAGAGTGGTGTTAAACAACAAACACCACCATCAACAGAGAAACATCCCTTACCTTGACATGATGGCCATTCATATAGCGAAAGTGGCATCCCGGTACAGTCGATACATAACAAAGCCATTTGGGTCAAGGTTGTTTACCAACGGATCAGCCGTCTGAAAAACATTGTTTGATCATACAGATCTGAACATCACAGTATACAAAAATTGTGACAGATACTAATTGTCAGATATATCACAAGCAACAAATAATGAATATAAAAATTAGTGTTTTTTCCTAAAAGCAAAAAATACTTTTAATTTATAGAACTAGAACTGATGTAACTATGGTAGCTCTTAAAACTTCTCCTTGTAAAACAAAACCCAGGTATGTGTTATTATCTTTGTTTAATGCACCTACAAACAAAATACAAGCTGCTTTCAGTCAAGATAGAATTTTGTGCCATGTGTCAAAGGGAGATAACTCTTGCACTTACCATGCCTTGGCTCAGATGTGTAGATGACGATTTCAACATGGGTGGCCCAACCTGCTGCAGGAAGTACTCTACACCAGGCCCTCTTTTTTGAAACGCCAGCCAGTGCCATACTGAAAACAAGCATGGAGAATAGGAGAAATGAGTCAGCACAAAGAGTTCTGCAGTTTCAACTCAGATGTCTCATCTAATAAATCTTCCAGAATTTTGCTCCTCACCCTATGAGAACATGGGTTAAACAGGTGCCCAGCATTCCGCTACTTGTCAGCCTGAGGAAACAGAGGGTAAGGGTGGACAACAGGGTGGGGACAGAGGTTGGTAGGGAACATACTATTACTTTACTGTCCAGTCAGGGGTGGACCAGTACCCTGTCATCTCCAGGACCAGAGTGTAGGGTAAAGCAATGTTAGGAACCCGGCGGGGACATTACAGAATTCAGCAACAATGCTTGTTTTCAGTTTTGTGTTTGTAAGTTTTGTTTGTAACATAAACCCCCAGTAAACTATGTTTATAATGGAGACATTTATAATGGAGACACCTATAACAAACTGCAGATATAACATATGGTCTTTTGGTCCCTAATTCTCACACATGGTGTGTACAATAAACTATGTTTATAATGAACTAAATCTCTTTGACCTCATCAGAACCGCAGTTTGCTGTAATGAGTGAGTGAGTTTAGTTTTACGCTGCACTCACCAATATTCAAGCTATATGGCAGCGGTCTGTAAATAATCGAGCCTGGACCAGACAATCCAGTGATCAACAGCATGAGCATCAGTCTACGCAATTGGGATATAATGACATGTGTCAAGCACGTCAGCAAGCCTGACCAACCGATCTCGTTAGTCACTTCTTACAACAAGCATGGGTTACTGAAGATCAATTCGACCCCAGATCTTCATGGGTTTTGCTGTAATGAAAGTTTGCAAGCACCAGTTTGAGTTGTTAACTATACTGGCATTTGACATAAGTCAGGACGATGTTTTTTCAAACTTTTCATGACCATCAGCAGAACAGTGAGGACCCTGATTAGATTTGGACTTCAGGTGAGGTGAGGTGAAATTGGGTTTAACGTTGTACTTGAGAATATTTCGCTCATAAAACGACGTGCATGCGTGTGTATGTGTGTGTGCGGCTGCTTGTACTAGCCCAGACTGAAGCTGGTTTTATAGTGCTAGCCCACTGAGATACCATGCAGCAGTGAAGCATGAATACCCCACTCAGACACATTATACTGCCTCCAAGCCGACCAGTCCTTGTTGTACCCATTAATGCCGAGCGACAGACAGGGACCAACAAGTACCATATTTTAACGTCTTTTGGTATGACGTGGTCGGGGATCGAACCCGCGACCTTCCGCTCTCCGGGCGGACGCTCTAACCACTACACCACGGAGGTGGTCTGTACTTCAGCATCCCATGTTTGTCATGAGAGGAAACTAATGGGATCAGGTGGTCTGGCTCACTGACGCATGTCATGGTATCTCAACGGTGCCGATCGATGTTTGTGATGTCAATCACCAGACTGTCTGGCCATGCTTGATTATTTACAGATTGCTGTAACAAAGCTGCAGTAATACTGAGAGTGGTGTTAAACAACAAACACCACCATCAACAGAGAAACATCCCCTACCTTGACATGATGGCCATTCATATAGCGAGTGGCATCCCGGTACAGTCGATACATAACAAAGCCATTTGGGTCAAGGTTGTTTACCAACGGATCAGCCGTCTGAAAAACATTGTTTGATCATACAGATCTGAACATCACAGTATACAAAAATTGTGACAGATACTAATTGTCAGATATATCACAAGCAACAAATAATGAATATAAAAATTAGTGTTTTTCCCAAAAGCAAAAATACTTTTAATTTATAGAACTAGAACTGATGTAACTATGGTAACTCTTAAAAACTTCTCCTTGTAAAACAAAACCCAGGTATGTGTTATTATCTTTGTTTAATGCACCTACAAACAAAATACAAGCTGCTTTCAGTCAAGAGAATTTTGTGCCATGTGTCAAAGGGAGATAACTCTTGCACTTACCATGCCTTGCTCAGATGTGTAGATGACGATTTCGAACATGGGTGGCCCAACCTGCTGCAGGAAGTACTCTACACCAGGCCTCTTTTTGAAACGCCAGCCAGTGCCATACTGAAAACAAGCATGGAGAATAGGGAGAATGAGTCAGCACAAAGAGTTCTGCAGTTTCAACTCAGATGTCTCATCTAATAAATCTTTCCAGAATTTTGCTCCTCACCCTATGAGAACATGGGATATAAACAGGTGCCCAGCATTCCGTTACTTGTTGCCTGAGTGGAACAGAGGGTAGGGGTGGACAACAGGGTGGGGACAGGGAGATTGGTAGGGAACATACTTTACTTACTGTCCAGTCAGGGTGGACCAGTACCCCTGTCATCTCCAGGACCAGAGTGTAGGGTGGCTGAACATATGGGTACTGTAGAGGATCTGGTAACAACTTGTCACGAGAGGGATCTTGTATTGTCTGAAAGGACATTACAATTTACAAAGTAAAACACAAGTTCAAATCAAAGTATCTCTACATGATATGAAGTTAGACTTTAGTAAACAATATAATTTTCACAATCGGAATTTTACCTGTATTTTCTTCAACATATGGTACTTGCAACTGCTTACTGCTAATGATCCTAAATTGAATTGCGAACAATGTATAAAACATTTATCCATCAAATTAACGAAGAATAAATCAAACAATACCTATGAACCTGTAAATGGTTTATTATTGACAATCAAGCGAGAGAAAGGATGGATAGAGAGAGGGAGGGAGATCCTACCTTCCTAAACACTGACAGTTCTCTAGCCGCCCTTCTCATGTGAGCTTCTATTTTGGACACTGTAACAACAAACAAACGTGAGGACTATTTGTAACATGTTCTCACTTGAACACTCACCGCTTACATCCCATTTATTTTCAACACTAGCTTTCCATTAAGGAAATAAATATATGCTTACAAATTTTAACAAATACCATCAATGCTTCATTATGGGGAAAAAAGATATGAAGTGAGTGAATGAGCTTCATATATAATTCCACAAGTACTGATAGATATACTTATATGTTTGCATTTACCCAAATATTCCAAATTACAGTGTTCTCTGATAATGCCAATTCAAATAAGCAAAATATAGCAGTCAGAGTATACTTACATTCAGTAAACTCATCTTCAACCTGCAACATAAAAGAACCACATGAACCATTGTTTATACATATATATATATGTATATACTGCTAAAAAACACATACTTTTATGGGAAAACATTGGAGTTACATGACAATCACGAGAGTGATTGACTTTAGTTATACACTGCTTTTTAGCAATATTCCAGTAATATCACGGCAGGGGACACCAGAAATGGGCTATAAACATTGTACCCATGTGGTGAATCGAACCCAGGTCTTCAGCACGACAAGCGAACACTTTAACCACTAGGCTACTCATCTCCCCTTGATAATCAGGAACAAAGCACAGATACAAACAAACTGAGACCACAATGGAGGAGGCAGTGTGCAACACATGACATGAAGAAAGGTAAAAGGTTAAAGAATGTCAGTAACAGTTATGATCACCATTAGTGATAATGACTGTCTGGCATCGTCTTCTCAAAGACTCAATCATATTGCAGATTACGGTCTTGGAATGTTGTGACTACAATGCTCAACACAAAGTTGTGGATGGCAACATCACACATGTCAATTCCAGTTTGTCCAATAAATATTCACTTTGGTTAACAGCGCTTCAGTTAGTACTGCGGAGCGCACCCGTCTCGCGTACAAGAGACGATAGGCCGTCTCGCGCATACACGTTATGTCTCTGACTGGTTAAGAACTGATGATCTTGATAACCAAGGAAGAACCAGGACGTTGTTCTAGGCCAGGAAACGTGGTTGAGCATTGACATGCTGGTAAATGATTGATCATAATATTTTATATACACATGTATATGATTATTGATGGGGAAAGTAAAGTCAAGTGAGTGAGTGAGTGAGTTTAGTTGTACGCCGCACTCAGCAATTTTCCAGCTATATGGCGGTGGTCAATAAAGTCAAGCTTATCTGATGTGAAAACTGTGTTTTGTAAAGGATTTGTTGTAGCTAACACAAGAATAATAAATTTATGAAATAAGAATAATAAATTAAAGAAAACACACTTTTGATGTAGAAACCCACAACTCATATTAGTAGTAAATGATGATGAATGGTAAAGGAACGATTTTGTATACATGTTGTTGCCATGGACACCAAAGACTTTTTTCAACAATAACAATATTTCATGAACCTGAAAATATACAGAAGGCCCAGTTCTCACTGTTTATTGATTCAGGTATGTTTGGTGATGTCTACTTACTACATTTCCATCTGGGTCTATTGGAGGTGCACCTGAAAAAGGATAGGAAACTTATGTTTAGGTCTTGCCAGACTCACAAGCAAACTTCAACCAACACATTGTTTTAGTTTCTCATTGTCAATGCAGCTGTTACATGAGGAGTAAGCTACAAGAATAATGAAAAAAATTTGAGCGTTAATGCATCACTTAAAACTGACCACAACATCAGACACCAGCTTTTTGGTCATGGCACATAAAGGCAATATAATAGTGATAAAACTGAAAATTTGGTTGTCTGCAGTGAAAAGAAAATTATAATTCAATGCAGGATCTCTCAAATTTCAACACATTTTGGCTTTTATCATATAGGGGTAAAGTAATGTGAAAATTCAAATCGCAAACCATTAATCAGATTTTCCATGATAATCATAAGCAATCAACAATGTGTTTATTTCATGGTCAACAAAAATCAGACCTCACTGGACATTGCCTTTACTTTCAGTGTGGGGTAATTTTAGTTAAATGTGATATATGTTTACTTATCTATCATGCTTATCCTGCAAGTGCCCAAGAAACCAGAGCATTAATATTTTAAGTAAATTATTCGTTGTTATGTAATTCTCAAGCCATTCATTGTCGTTTTATACATTTGTAACTTACCGTACAGATAAACAAACCCTCCTACTGTCATAACAGCCCATCCTCCTAAAAGACCTAACCCGAGCTTCCATGCATTCTTCCCCGTCCACCTGGACCAGCGTGACTGTTTCGTGTCTTCCTCTTTTGATTTTTCAGGATTACTTTTGTTTTCGGAAGAGCTCTGTTCTTTACTTTTCTCTGCAAGAATTTTGGCCTTCAAGATTTCATCAGTGAGTCCTTTGACATTGTCCGATTTTTTAGTGGAATACAATAAAACAATACTTGACTGCGTTGGAATTATTTTTCTTCGGTTAAGAAGTTGTGAATGCAAACACTGTTGTCGTGTGTTATACACTGTTACAAGAGACACAGACTTCTTCAGCACATGACATCTTTGCACAAAACACATGCACGCACTGTAGGCTGCCATCTTGGATAATCTCTGTGCTAAAAGTTGGATCACGAAACGAAACTTAAAACGAAATATGATTGTGATCGTCTTCTTATTGATGTAATTTTCCTAATATTTTTAATGTTATGTGATAAGTTTTCGTATATAATTACCGCTAAATTCGCCATTTGAACATCTCTTTATAAACCATGTTGTTACAACCATCATTCAAACAGGACAATATTTTATCGTTTAATTTATTCTTTACTGTTATTTTCAACTTGTCACATAAGGGACCGTTCATAATTTATGGTTAGCGGGGATGATGGTGATTTTTAAGAGGGGGTCACCCATTTTGATCTGGTGAGCTGGAGGGGATCAGCAATTTTGTACACACTTACCTGGGGGGTCAGCAATTTTGTACATAAAAATATGTTTAAAATTATGCTTAGAAATATTATGGGAAGGGGAGGGGTGGGTGGGGGTTGTCATTGATTTTGTACATGACATGCATCCACCCCTAGCCATAAATTATGAACGGTCCCTAAGATTTGCAAACAAATGTCGAGTATGATACTGGAATGCTTTCAGAGTCCTTATATAGTATTCCCTGTTTTAGCTAGATTTCTATGAGTTATTGTTTAAAGGAAAAGAAAATGTCAGTGTCTACATAATTCCATTTGTGTGACATTTTGGTACAGATGTTATTGTCTTTATCAAGCATCTGATAATGGTACTAGCTCCCAACTAAAATGACATACGAATAACGTAAAGGAGAAAGCAACAAATGCACCTGTCTTCATTAATAGTTCAGCTAATATATTGACAAAATAGGGAAGATGTAATGGTGAGGTGAGGTGATTTTGGGTTTTACGTCGTGCTTGAGAATATTTCGCTCATATGACGACGTGCATGCGTGTGTATGTGTATGTGCGGCTGCTTGTACTAGCCCAGACTGAAGCTTGTTTTATAGTGCTAGCCCACTGAGATACCGTGCCGCAGTGAAGCATGAATACCCCACTCAGACACATTATAATGACTCCGAGCCGACCAGTCCTTGTTGTACCCATTAATGCCGAGCGACAGACAGGGACCAACAAGTACCCTATTTTAACGTCTTTTGGTTTGACGCGGTCGGGGATCGAACCCGCGACCTTCCGCTCTAGATGTAATGGTGATATATGTCTATTAAACTGACGATCAAAAGAAAGTTGTCACATGCTTTGGTGGACTATGAAATAAAAACGAACACTCAAGTTATGTTGATGGAAACAAATATTTATATTTCATTAATGTGTTATCAACCTTGCACAATATCGAGGTGATGGACTTATAAAATCATTAGTGACAGTTACTGTAAAACACTGGGGGTACAAAATGTCGTTTTTTCACACAACCTGGAATAGCAACTGTGGCCAATAATGGTGAACCCTGTGACTGGGGACTTGAGAGACGGCATCAATACCTCGTGTGACCTCCTCTGGCAAGAATGCATGCTTCACAACGCCTTATCATGGATGACGTCAACCGTCGGATGACGTAAGCCGGTATGCGTTGCCACGTATCGTTTAAGGCATTCTCCAGGTCCTGAAGATTAGTTGGCTGGTTGGGACGTCTCCTCAACTCTCTACCAAGATGGTCCCATAGGTGTTCTATGGGAGACATGTCGGGGAGCATGAGGGCCATGGCAAGACGGCTACATTGACGTTGTTGAGAAAGTTCTGAGTGATCCTTGCTGTGTGGGGACGTGCATTGTCTTGTTGCAGGAGGGTCCCCCTTGGTTGTTGCTGCAGGAATGGCACTGCTACCGGTCTCAGGACTTCGTCAATATACCGTTGTACATTCAGGTTGCCACGGATAACAACCAGTTGCGACTTCTGGTAATCACAAATCCCACCCCACACCATGAGACCACCGCCTCCTTGGGGATGGACGTTTTCGACACAATTTGGAGCCAATCTTTCGTTTCTACGACGGTACACCCGGACTCTCCCGTCTGCATGGAACATATCAAAATCTACTCACATCAGTGAACAAACACGTTGCCATTCTCGCCGCTGCCAACGTCGTACACGTCGTAGGCGGTCAGCGCCATCCTGCGGAAGGGTCGGTAGGCCCTGATACCGACATGACGCAGTCGTCTCCTCCCTGTGTGTCGGCTTACCCGGTGACCCAATGCCGTTGCTGCAGATTCCGTCACTGTCAGGAACTGATTGTGTAGATGTAATGTGCGTAGATATCTATACACCTGGAACTTAATTAAGCACCCCCTGATATATTTCATGATAGTAGAGCAACTGTTAACCATCGTTAAACATGAATGATATCTCTGTATTACAACACATCTCTAGTAGTCTAAAAAGGTGTTTCAGTTCCATTGCACTCGTCACAACGCATCCCTTGATGCACGTGAAGCATACAACCCACACTTTTCCCAAAATTCAGTTTCTCTGACATGCAATTTATGGGCATAAAAGCAGACAAATTTGCAACTGTCTCCATTAATGAATACTGAAATGGCGAGGAGAAGACTTTCAGAAGCACTAAGGTGGCAAATTGTCGGCATGCATGCAACAGGCATGTCCTTCAAAGCTATTGGACGACAGCTGGGCTACAGTCACTCGGTCATCAGCCGACTTGTCCGAAAACATCAGATGACAGATGTGAGAGATCGTCCAAGGCCTGGACAACCCAGGAAGACAACGGCCTGTGATGATCGCAGCCTGGCACGTCTGGTAAGGCGAGAACCCTTTGCCACAAGTTCGGTTTTGAAGCGCCTGTGGTTGCCCTACAGACAATTATCCACCAGAACCGTCAGAAATCGCCTTAGGGCACTTGGTATGAGGTCCAGAAGAGTCATCAAACGTCCTGCTCTGTCTGATCTCCATAAGAGACGACGTCTGGAGTGGTGTATGGCCCGTCGGCAGTGGAACCTGAGGACATGGAGGAGGGTCCACTGGTCAGATGAGAGCAGGCTCCTCCTCCACGTTACAGATGGTCGAATGAGAGTGTGGAGGCATAAAAACACTGCTTACGTGCCCAGGAATATCCACCCTACTGTTCCTTATGGCGGAGGATCGGTTATGATCTGGGGTTGTCTTTCACACGACTGTAAACTTCAAATGGTGACTGTCCGAGGAAAACTTAATGGTCAGCAGTACATCCGGGATATTCTCCATCCAGTTGTCGTGCCTCACTTTGACAACCACCCGTTGGCTACTCACCATAAATTCATGGACGACAACGCCAGGCTGCATCGTTCACGTGCTGTGACCGCACATCTCCAGAATGAGGCTATCATGACATTACCTTGGCCAGCAATGAGCCCCGATTTGAATCCATTGGAGCACATCTGGGACTTTCTTGGACGCCGTGAGGTTGAGAGAACCCCCTCTCCAGCATCTTGCACAGCTGGAAGCTGCATTGCATGAAGAATGGCGGCAATTGCCACTTGATCGTATCAGAAGGTTTACCAGTAGCATGAGGAGGAGGATTCAAGCTGTCATCCAAGCACGTGGGGGATACAACCGATACTGATGCCAGACCCATCAGATGTTAACATGTGACATTCCTTGTGCATCATTTCTTGTAATAGTCAGCCATTGACAATGCTACGACCATACTTGTTCAGTGACTATTTTCATCAAAAAATCAATAGTGACCAAATCACATTGGTTACGCTATTAAAACAACACGTATTGGAATCATTGTCTTGTTTTTCATTTGCCAATAGATCGTATGTTTCACAGTAGCTAAGGTTCCACTATCTTTGGAATAGTGAGAGAGTTACAGCAAGTTTAGTTTCCCATCATCCAGAAAATAGGGGGGGGGTGCTTAATTAAGTTCCAGGTGTATATCTTCTCCTGGTGTTGTGACGCGTGGTCTGCCACTCCGAGGTCTGTCACAGGTTCTGCCAGTCTGGTGGTACCGCTGGAACAACATAGTGATGGTCTGACGTGAGCATCCAAAGGTTCTTGCAATACGTGTCTTTGGCGTCCCCGTCATGGCCATGCCAATGGCTCTCTCCCTCTCTTCTGCACTTGGGCGGTGGGGTAGCCTAATGGTTAATGCGTTGGCTCGTCACGCCAAAGACCCGGGTTCGAATCCCCACATGGGTACAATGTGTGAAGCCCATTTCTGGTGTCCCCCGCCGTGATGTTGCTGGAATATTGCTAAAAGCGGCGTTGTTGATGTGACAGTGTGTGACCATTTGGATTGAAATATATAGTGGTATCTGCATGGAGATTCCATGGAAAAACGAAAAGCGTATTTTTTGTTTTAGGGTCGCAGCACGTGCATTGACGGCTGCATGGGCTGGGTTCTTTGCAAATCGGTGGATTGTGTTCGCAAGCAGTGTCTCCATAAGTCACTAACATGTGTTCTCACCCGTTTTGGGACTATTCGCAATTTTAAGGTGACAACTTTCTTTTGATCGTCAGTTTATATTTATTTGGAGAATGTAGATCAATATCTGGTGTGTCCACCATGTTGGGCTATACATGCAGAACACCAAAATGACCTAGTGTTGAATATCCCCTTGGTATGGTTGCCATTTTGCATGAAGAGCTACCACAAACTGGTCCTTGTTTCAACTAATTTCGACCATTTAATGTGTATTCAATGCTATTTTGCTGTAAATATCATTTACATTTTCTTAAATAATGGTTTGGATAGTGAATATTGATCATGATCTCAAGTTGAATGGGGCGATGGGGTAGTCTTGTGGTCAAAGTGTGTGCCCGCCCTGCAGAAGACCCAGGTTCAATTCCCCACATGGGTACATTGTGTCAAGCTCACTTCTGGTGTCCCCCGCCGTGATATTGCTGGAATATTGCTAAAAGTGGCATAAAACTAAACTCACTCACTCACTCATATACATCAAAGCAGATCAGCCTCATACAGAAGAAAGCCTTGAGTGATACCAGTCTGAGAAAGAAATCACTAGAACTGGTATGATCCTGTAAACTTTTATCCATGATCAGGGCAATTTGCCTCATTCCAAACTAACCCCCCTTGCTCTGCATCTCTAACGACTAGTACT